AATAATAGGTAGGAGTAGAATTCAAGAGTCAAGATATTATTGTCTCACGAATCAATGTTGAGATATTAAAAGAAGATAAACTGAATCCATCATTTTGAGTATTATATTGTGAAGTATGTGACTTGATTGAATCCATTTTTGTTAGATGTTGTTATTTGTTTTCACTCATGAAAAATTCTTCAGGAACTTTTAAAGGAATATTGCCTGCCAAGAGAATATATAAGACAGAAACAAAAAATAAAAGTTGGCCTTAGTTCCTAAAGCCAAGGATAAAATTCTGAAAACTGGTAAGAAAAAAAACTTTAGCAATGTTTTTGACTGAAAAAAGACTATTTGAGATTCTCTCTCAATGAATGCCAAATAATTGATACTGTTAAAAATAAAATAGACCCCATCAACCTTTTTGTTAACATAAATACTAAACAATAACACTTAGGATATTTCTAACTAGTTGCTTTGATTTCATGAGGACACATTCTGAATGCACCGTTCTGTGGTACAGTTTTTAGAATCCATAGTAAATAATGGTTTTTTTTAAGTAAGATATAAAAACCTTCCACGGCTAAGAGAAGATTTCCATGTAATTCAGTCACTGGTCAAAATAAAAACCTGACTGCTATGACACACAGTGCTCCCAGTAGTATATCAGATATAGCTCTGAACTAAGAGTCAATCGCTTCTGAATTAGTTTTCTAGGGTGCCATAACAAAATAGCACAAATTGGGTGGCTTAAGTCAGAAATTTACTGTTTCATAGCAGCCAAAAGTTCAAAATCAAGGTGTTTGCAGGAAGGTCTGTGAGGGAGGGGTCTGTTGCAGGTCTCTCTCCTTGGCTTGTAGATGGCCATCTTCTCCCTGTGTCTCTTCACAGCCTTTCTCCTCTGTGCATATCTCTTTTTATAAAGATTCCAGCCATATTGGGTTACTCTACTCCAACATGATCTTAGTAAATTACATCTGCCATGACCCTATTTCCAAATAAGGTCACCTCCTGAGAAACTGAAGATAAAGATTTCAACATAGAAATGGAGGGGAGCACAGTTCAATCTACAATAGTTTCTATTTCTCATTTATCAAGTCAAGATAAAGTCGTCTTCTAATATTTTGATTGCAACTTGCATCATCCCTTTAGCAAGAATTTATACTTATTCTTCTAGGCAATAGATATCCAAAGCTGAATCAGGTGCCCTCCAGAACAAACAGCCTGCTCAGTCCTTATTTATCTTTTGGTTCTCAGAACAAAGCATAGTACTAAGCACAAGTAGATTCTGTAAATATTTACTCACTGGCAAAAAAGAGAAAGATGGGAAGGAGGGCTCTGCTTACTTTAGATCTTTCCTAGTGACAGAAAAGTCGTGGCTTGTCATTTTCTTAATGAGTTCAAGGCTTTATACAGGTCCAAAATTAATGATGCCAGCAAATGTGAACATCTTAATCTAAATATCTAGAATGGACGCTCAAGTGAAAATCCATCAGAGACAATATTCTGCTTTATCTTGATTTCCTACATGGTCTAGGTGTGAGGGTCCCAGACTCATATATTATGTCAGCATTAGATGTGATCTTGGAGACCCAGTGTTAGCCTCTTGTTTTGCAGATAAGAATCACACCCCAGAATCACCGCCCACAATCACATAACCAGTCCCATGCTAAGTCAAACCCAGAATGACCTCTCTCCTCTTCCAATACCCTTACTATGACATGGTGCTGCCTCTACTTCCTACACAACGTAAACAGCAAATTCTTCCCTAGCTACGAGGGTGGGAGAAAACAGACAAGACCTGCGAATACCACCACAACCGCCAAGTCCTGAGATAAGCCCCATTGAAATGGACTGGCATGGTGGCAGAGAGAAACAGGACATGGGAAGCTCATGTACTTTGTGAGAGATGAGCCCACAGTCAGTGAAGTAATATCAGCCCTGAGGCTACTCAGTGGAGAGCTGAACTTCAGGGGCAGGAAAATAGGTGGCCATCTTTCAGGGATTTGATGGGCTTCAGAGGAATCACTGGCCCTCAAGTCTCCCCTTCGGGTGACTCCCCTCTTAGCAAGCCATCCTTCGTTGTCACATACCTGGAACACTGAAAGCTGTGAAAAATAATAACTACCACCTCAAGTGACATTTAATGACCCTCTTACCATGTGGAGGACATTGTATTAAGCACTTGACATGAACTATTTCTTTTAAACCGCATCACAACCCTATGGCATAGACACTGGTATTATCCCCAGTTTACAGATGCAGACACCTGAGAAGTTAGGCAACTTGCCCAAAGTACCAAATGCTGAAGGGTTGGCCCTCCATTTAAATTCAGGTAGGGCTTTAAAGGCTGCACAAACATCAGCCAGGTGGCCTAGGGCAAATCAATCGACCTCTCAGAACTTCATTTTGTGATATCAGCTGGGAATAATGATACATGTCTTGCAGACTAGATATAATATTTGTAAAGCGTTTAGCACAGAGTCTATATTGCATCAATTTCTTCATACGGGGAAGCTATTTTAGCATCCTTTTCCTGTTGTTCTCATTTACTATATAAAAACTCATGGGTGAACAAATATGTCTCCTAATATCTCAATGAGAATAAGCATGAAAGGAGGGCACAGTGAGGGCACTAGGGAGCCACAGGGTTATAGATACAGACAGAGGCCTCCAAGGATGCTTTACTTATCACAGTCTGGTCCAGGTCTGTCCAGCCAATGGAAGATAAGCTATTTTCCATGCTATAAAACTAGACAAGGGTTATTTGTGGACTGAACAATGGAGAGCCTCATTTGATCTGTAAAGGACATTATTTCTGGAGTCCCTTGAGGTTCCCAGGGGAAAATTGAGCTCACTTCTAGAGAAATGCAATAGTCATGACATGAACCAGTTACTGCATGCCAATGCCAGCATCCCACACACATGGTCCATCTCATCCTTACAACAGCCCCAGAAAATGGGAATTCTTTTGCTTATTTCAATAGAGGAAGATACAAACCTAGGACTGCTTTACTCATAAGCTCATTATCTTAAAATATTGTACTTATTAGAAATGTCTGGTTGCAAAGAAAACCACCAATTCAATATAATTTAAGTAAAAGGAAAAGTTTACTGTGAACATAATATTTCACAGAAAATAAAGTACCAGATCTAGGAATTAAAAAAATTCTCTCTCTCTCTCTAGCTCTGTCTCTCCATCCTCTCCTTAATCTTCTCATCCTTTTTGTAGAACAGCTCCCTATACGTCCTCAACCTTATTAGAATTAGCCACTCCATATTGCTGAAATTATCTACTACTGGTTCGATCTCTTGTGAAGACTTCTTTTCAAGGAGAAGAATCTTATTAGTCCAGCTTGAGTCAGGTGTCTCGCAATGTCTGTACTAGTTGAGGACCAGTTCAAATATGACAAGTAGAAATCACCTTGCAAAGTGCAGGGCATGGAGAAATAGATTTATGCTCATGGGTAGATAAACACTAGAAAAGGTGTCCTCCATGGCTATACTGCTTTCATATAAGATGTTCAAGCATTTTTTCATTTTAGTATATTCAAACCAAGCATGACCTGTATTAACACAAGCATTAGTTGAAGAATGCTGCAACACTAGGCATTGATTTCAGCAGAGAAATTAGTAAATTAGTAAATGTGGAGTAGCCAAGAAAAGTAAAATACACTAGGCCTAGTGGAGGTCTTGCATGTTGTCTGAGTCCTATAGCAGTGCTGTCCAATAGAAATAAAATGAAATTTGCATAGATAATTTAAAATATTTTAGTAGCACATGTTTTTAAAAATTAAAAAAAGAGGTAAAATTCATTTTGATAACATTTTATTTAACCAAATATCCAAAATATTATTTCGACATGTAATCAATATTAAATTTTATTGAGATGATTTACATTTTTGTGCTATCTTCAAAATTTAATATGTATTTTACATCTCAATTTGAATGCTATATTTTTATTGACAACATCTGATGTGTATTAAAATTTTTCAAAATTTACAGTTGAAAAGCTAGACCTATAATCACATGTTCCATTATTTTACATTATCTGTAATTAGTTATGTGGAATGAAATTAATTCATGCCAGTGTTTCAAGTTATTCCTCACTGAACTGAGATTGTTTATTACTCAGACTGTTTCCCCTATGCAGAGGTGATCATGGACAAAAATGTTCATGCTGGGATTGTGGACTCCTACCACACAAAGCAAAAAATAGCTAGAAATCAGGGAATAAGCCGGGCTTGCTGGCTCAGCCTGTAATCCCACGCCTTTGGGAGGCTAAGGTGAGTGGATTGCCTGAGCCCGCGGGTTCGAGACTCGCCTGGGCAGTGAGACCTCATCTCTACAATAAATCAAAAATTCTGCCAGGCGTGGTGGCGCATGCCTGTAATTCCGGCTACTTGGAAGGCTGAGGCGGAAGGATCGCCGGAGCCCAGCAGGTCGAGGCTGTGGTGGCCGGGAGCAGCCACTGCACTCCAGTCTGGGCGACAGAGTGAGACTCCAACTCAAAAAAAAAAAAAAAGAAATCAGGGAATATGCTCATATCTCTTTTAGGTCTCTGTGACAACAAATAAATTTTTAATAGGTTGACTGAACTGATTATGTTGGGAATTCTTGACACTTTTGTTTTCACTTTTTTTTTTTTTTTTGCACTGAAAAATATCAAGTTTCCTTAGGAGAACTCTTTGCTTGTCCCCTGAAATTTTATAGTTGTCTGTGTGTGTTATGGATGTGGGGACAGGTCGGAAGATACTGACAGTGCAAATCACTGATGACAAAATGTAAGCAGTTTTTGTTCCTTCTTCGTAACTTTTGTGGACAGCAGATGTTAGCAAGGAAACAGCAGCCCCTGTTGAGAGCAACCAGGCAAGACTTTCAAAATGAATGACAAACCACAAGCTTCTGGCAGAAGACAGGTAAGGTTCTATGAGTAAAATCAGGTAAAGGCTACACATGTTTATCAGTCTCAAATTCAGTGCCATGAAAAGTCCCCTGCCAGAAAACGTAAGTTCAAGTTCTCATACTTTCCTGTCCTTGGCATTGTTGGACCTGGGGTGGCCTCGACTTTTATTAATCTTTTTCTTAGTGTTTTGACTTGAGGAAGGAAGAGACAGCTCCAGCTCCCTTTTCTTGGCATCCCAATCGCCGTCCTGTTCATCCAGAGGCAAACCCTTCTGCTGGGCAATACGGCGGTGGTTCCGACATTCGGGCTCAGCACTGGGAAAGAAGAGAGGGCCTCCTGAAATTGGAGCAGGAGGGCTTGCCTGAACTTAGCCTTGGAACCAGCCTCTCTTCCTGTGCCCTACACACTTCAGGGGACAGTTTAATGGTCCAGTGGAGAAGAAAAAAGGCAAGTTTGTGCATGTCCAAGTGTACACTTAGGGAGATCTCAACACTGACAAAGTTACTTGGAAGTGGAGAAAAATGCAGTGACCTAAATGAGATGTTCATAGACCCAGAGACAGTCACTTAGCTTAAAGAAGGTACTAGGAATTCTTAAAGTGCTCACATTTAAAGAGAAACCTGCATATTAGTGGGAGTTCATTTTCCTTTGTTTGTTTTTAATTGTAGTTTTTTCCTAATTATGTAAGTAATGTATGTTCCTTGTATAAACTTTTAAAGTACAGAAACACATAAGTAAGAAAATGAAAATCACTCACAACCATGTACGTATTATATGTATAGATGAAATATATAAAAAATAGTAGTTGATGAAGGATGGATAGACAGATAGATGTAAACTAGATCATCATACACCCACAGACAATGGGAAGCACAAGTATGTACAGTTTTGTATATTAGGCCAAAGGTGAGTATGCGACTTGCTTAAAGATATTCATGAAAATCACTTCACAGAAATAAAATTTGAACCAATGTGAGGAAAAATGGAATTTGAGAGGATAGGTGATGGCATAGGCAGAGCAAACAACATTTTAAATATAAGCCATTATAAAAAGTACAGTTCATTCAAAGAACAGCACAGTTCTTTCAAAGGACAGCTTGTCCTTCACCATCCCCAAGCTGAAAATGACATTTCACTCTTCAGACCACAGAGTCCCTCCTCTGCCTTGTCACATTCTATCTTGTATTAGTGTTATTTATGTAAACAAGTTACTTCCTCTTTCAGACATGGAACTTTTCAACTTCCTGAATCTGACTTATTTTATGTCCTTTTTAGTGTCTAAGTTAATGATATACACATAGTAGGACTCAAAAATATTTGTTAAATGAGTGGTTTATCAATCAGGGAGGCTAAATCAAAAGTTAAGCCTGTAATCCTAGCACTTTGAGAGGCCGAGGTGAGTGGATTGCCTGAACCCACGAATTTGAGAACAGCCTAGACAACTCGACAAGACCTCATCTCTACAATAAATAAAACAATTAGCTGGGCATGGTAGCTCGTGCCTATAGTTCCAGCTACTTGGAAGGATGAGGTGGAAGGATCACCTGAGTCTAGCAGGTCGACGCTGGGGTGGCCGTGAGCGTGTCACTGCACTCCAGCCTGGGCGATAGAGTGAGACTTTAACTCAAAAAAAAAAAAAAAAAAAAAAGAAATTAAATTGTTACCCAGTGATCCCTGGGATATGTAGAAAATTATCAAATGCTGTCTAGGCTTCTTTTGAAATCTCATTTTTTTTCTTCATCCCTCTAGCCCAGGAGTTCACTTACAATGTGAGTAGTAAAAAAATTCCTTAAGTGATCTCCTTGTCTAAAGTCTGTCTTCCATTCCACCTACACAGCACCACTGCCACCTCCTCTACCAATCGAGTAAATCGCTAACACGTCTATCTCAGCTTGTCAATTCCCTGATGAGCTCACACTCATCTGCTTACCCAACTTGCTGTAGTCACCCACATGCCCAACCATATCCTCCATTCCTGCCTAGTATGAATGCTTTATTTAGCCAGGCCACTCATTCCTCCACAATCCCTCCACCTCCTCACATATACACACAACATGTGTACATTTCCAAGTTGGTGCTTTCACTCCAAATCAGCAGTGTTTCTTCATGACTACTCTATCAGCTAGGTCTTAGCTATCTTTCAAGGTCCAGATTAATTCCCCTTTAATCCAAGATTCTTCTCTCTAAGCCCTTTGACTATCAGAAGGGAAGTTTCCAGTGGGGGATGATGATGAGTAGAAATGACTCATATATGATGTGACTGACCTTTGTTGTTTTTGTTTGCTCAACACTATCTGCCTCCTGATAATAGCACTCCCTCATATTTAGAGGGAGTTACTCCTTCTCCACTTCAGTTCTGTCGGGGTCATGTATCATGTTCATCCCTCGTCACTAAGGAGGGGCTGAGATTGCTCAGTAGAGAACAGGCAAGGACAGGACCCTGAGGAATTGCAGCATCTAAAAGGCATGCAAAAATAAATTATGAAATTTATTCTTAGAAAAAGCATATAACAAGTCATGAGAAATGGTAGAAGGAAAATTAAAAGAGAGTAGTATCAGATAAAATCAGAGAGAAGAGTTTCAGAAATATCAAATACTGAATTAAGTGGAGGTGAGATGTAAATTGATAAAAGGTCATTGGATTAGCAACAAGGAGCTCCCTGATCATTTGGGTTAAAAACTAATTCAGTACAAGGGGGGGGGTAGAATCTGAAAAGTGGGTGAGAAGTGAGGAAGTAGAGAAAATTATGTAGATTAACTTTCAAGTAGCTTAAAAGTGTAGTGAAGAAAGACACAGCAGAAGTTAGACGGGCTTCTAACTTTGTGCTTGTTTAATAAGATCTGTTTGAATATGTTCATGGTCCAAGAAGAATCAAGGGAAGGAAGTGAAAAAATAAAGGTACAGGAGAAAGAGTAAAGATGAAACAAAAAATATATGAATGATGATCTTGTGGAAGACATTGGATCAAGGATCTAAAAGGAGGGATAACACTTTACCCAAGAGGGACAGGAAGGCATGAAGGAATTGATGAAGATGTATATAAGCAGCCTGTAGGTGTTGAAAAATGTGTACCCCATGACTTTTATACTCTCTCTGAAATAGAAGGCATACCCTCTGAGAGACAGGCTGACATGTGATGGGACATAGAGTTGTCAATGAGGTTATAGGACAGGAAAATACAGCCAAGCAGCTCTGAGGACTCGGCTAAAGGTAGAAATCTTAAAACTGCTGGTGATCTCCATCTACTTATTTGTGGAATTTTCTCCAGTTGATTGATCATAGAAATAGAGAAGACAGAGATTCATCCAAGATTCATGGTTGATTTTATTTGACCTCATTTCAGTATTATATTTAATTTTATTATAAAGGTAATATATGATTTCGAAATCCAAATGTAACAGGAAAAGGTAAATAAAAAATTGAGTTGATTCTGCAATGATAATGCTTTACTAACATATTTTCTTCCTGATGTATTTCTCTGCTTGAATACATGCATACTGTAGGGGTCAAGGGGTCCCCTGTGGAAGTTTCCCCTTGGCCCTCTGAAGGTTCACTAAAAAATTCCCCTTGTAAAAGGCAGATGAAATGGAGAAAAAGCATATAAACAGAAGCCTTCAGAATGAAGGGAAATTGTCTGTTTAGATTCAACAAAGTATGGACAACCCTGTAGAAATATGATTGGCAAAAGGGGCAAGATCTAATGCGAATGGAGTGGGCAAACCCAGCAAGACCTGTCTGTTTAGATTCTTGTTGACCTTTCTGAACAGCATTCCTTTCTTCTGAGTATGGGGCAGTACCCTCTCTGGAACGGGGGTCTTATGACCTATAGTCAAACGAGGTAGGTCAGATAATTTTTTATGGCCAGTGTTTACACAAAAAGGCAGAGAGAAATTGGAATATTTTTTAGGTATAATGGCTGGCTTTGGGGAAAGAGGTTTTTGGTTTCTATGACCTACCTTGGCAAGAGAGATTCTAGTTTCCATGGTTAACCTCAGGGGAGAATGGGACTGAGAGACAGGAGGGCAGAAGAAGACAGAGACAAACTTTTCCTGTGAGACCTTCACTTTGGGATATTGTTTTCTGAGCCTCAAAAGTTTTCACCCCCGAACTAGTCATTTTAGTGAAAAATTAATAAAAATAACTCAACTAAAAAAATCAGTAAGAACTACAGTTCATTGACTGGATTTCTTCATTTTATTTTCATTGACCTGAGATCACTGAGTTGTCCAAAACCTTGATTACAGACTTCTGTTTCTTTGTCCCTTATACAGGTTGTAGAAAAATTAAACTTACTTCTCTAGAAATGCCATACAGGTTTTTTGCCCATAGATTTGTGCAATCCTTTTCGGCGTGTCACCAAAGAAGTCGGGGGCGTCGATGGCTGCGTGCAATGCATGGAGGGTTTTGAGGACCTTCAGATGGCCTGACTCTGCAGCAAAGTGAGCTGGGGTCCAGCCCACATCAGTCACCAGGCAGGGCCTGGCTCCATATTCTATCAGGAGGTGCATCATCTCTATTTGCCCTTAGTTGGACCAAGAATAAAGAGCATGAGGTTAAGATAAAAATGTCCCTGGAGGCTAGAGACTAGGGCCAGCTTGGGTAACACAATGAGGATGGGGGTAGGGAGGATAAATTTGCCTTTGAGGACTCTCTAGTCTCCTGTCATCATCCACTCCTCCCTTCTCCCTCTTCTTACCAGAAACTTTGCCCTACCCTCGCCTAATGAACCTTGCCCCAGCCAGACCAGAGCCCTCCAAATGTTCCCTGTCCCCTCCCAGGTCTCTCCCTTCCTTTGTCCATTGTCTCAGGCCCTGCCTAAGACTCTTGCTCTGTCTTCCAAGTCACATTATACCTGCCCATTGGTAAGCCTCACTCTGCTTTGACAGCCTCAATACTTTTTCAAAACCAAATATTTTAAGTCCTGTTTACCTTATAGCCAGCAGGAGTTAAGAGCGCAGGCTTTCTAGTTAACAAATGTGAGTTCACATCCTGACAAGACCACTTCCTAAAAAGTAGCATCTCAGACAAGAAACAAATGTCTGAAACTCAGTTTTCTTATTTGTAAATGAAAGATATTACCACTTAACTCACTGAATTCTCACAGAGTGCAAGTGAAATCACAGACATAAAGTACACAGCCCAGTGCCCAGCACATGGCAATGTTCACTAAAAGGTGCTTTGCTATAGATACCATCCCTTTGTGCTTAGATTTCTGCAAAAATATCTCAATAATTTCTCTGTAATCAGTCTTGCTTCCTCCAACCAGGAGTCAAACCAAAATTTTAAAAAGCAAAGTTGACTGTAGCACTTCCTCACTTAACATTCGTTAATGGTGTTCTATTGCCAAAGCCTTTGACACACCCATCAAGTAGTTTTTGCTACTATCCTCCTCTGATTCTATAACTGAGCCATGGGGGGATTTAGTGAAGAATGAGACAAGGTCCCTATCCTTTTCCTTGATGCGCCATATCTGTTAGAGGTCATGAGGACAAAGGACAAATATTAATTGAGAGCGACTATATAAGCCCTGTACACTCATTATCTCACTAAATCCCCATCACAGGACTCCAAAGTAGCATTCCTGATCCCATTATATAGATAGATAAACTGAGGCCCAGAGATGTAAATAACTCGCTTCTGGTGCTACAACAAGTAAGTGGTGATATCAGGATTGAAATGTTCTTTTCACTCCCCTACACAGCCTACTGACTGATATGCTCATAAATGGTAGACTCAAAAGAATGGATCTACCAAAGCATTGCCCACTCACCTTTGATTGCAGCCCAGTGAAGTGGGGTCCGGTCATTCCAGTCCACATCCTTGTAGTTTGGGTCACAGAGACCTTTCTTCAAAATCTTTTTCACTAAATTGTAGTCCCCTGCAGCCACAGCTTGGTGGAGCTTTGTCATGTCTGACATTTTTGTTAACTCTGTGACAGAAGACAACTGTGGGGGAGATGTGCCATTTAGAAAATTCTATACAACCCTTTATTCCTAGCAAGTTATTCCATAAACTTCTGTATCACTGATTTTCTTTCCTGCATCATGAATTTGCATCATGTGTGTGTTCTGCTGAGTGTGTACTGAGATCTTAGCTACTGTGGTTAGTTCATGCCAATCCCCTATCCAAAAATTATTCATGGCTCCCACCATATACAGAATCCTGTCTAAACTCTTGGACTGGCACTCTACTCATTGCCTCAAACTGCCCTCCAGTGGTATTTCTTACTATTACCTCAAAGTTCTAGTAGTGCTACCTTAAGTTAGTTGTGCAATTCTGTAGCTTGTCTTTTTCATCTGTAGAATGAATGTAATCTGCCAGGTTGTTGTGAGACGTTACAATCCACATGAAAAGTTTATACTGAATACAGAACAGGTGCTCCATGGAGTCATCATTACAAACTGTGACCGCCACCACCACCAGCAGCAGCAGTCCCTGGGCATTTGTTAGAAATACAAATTTTGGTGCTTAACCCCAGACCTACCGAATCTGAGACTCTGGGGCGGGGCCTAGCCATCTTTGTTGCAAGGAGGCCTCCAGGTGAGTCTGGTATACCTGGAAATGTGAGAACAGCCCTGGAGGGAGAGAAAGAAAGTAAACATAATTAAAATGCAAGGCTCTAAATGCCTGGAGGACGGAGATAAGAAGCCATTCATGAAAAATGAGGAGTAAAAGGAGCAATTCTCTAAGGGTGACCTAAGCCAGTCCCTGAAAGAAAGGATGAGTCAGAGACATATTGGTGACTGAGGTTGTGAACCGTCCCAAGTCCAGGCACAGCATGTCTATGGCCCGAAGCACACACTGCAAAGTGTGAGTATTTCTAACTCTAACGCATAGACCAAAGGACAACATATTGTTTTCTTTAAACTGCCAGATAGTAAATATTTTTATGTCAAGAGGCAAAATCAAAGTTATTATGTAGAAACGTGTATATATATATATATATATATATATATATATATGTAGAGAGAAAGCTCCTGCACCACCCTGCCCCATTTGCCCGAGATGGAATGTTCTACTTTATTTGTGTTCAGTAGTCCTCATTTGGAGTTACTCTGAGGGCAAAAAGGACGGGCTTGAGGGGAAAGGTCCTGGTTCCTGGGATGGGCATTTTCACTCTCTGCCCTAGTGATGTCCAGGTCCCAGTGAGCTCTCTCTCCTCCCAGAAAGGCTATCTCAAGTTGATAGTTGGCAGAAGGCAAGGAGACTCACAGAGCCACCAACTCCTATCCTGAGATTCCACTGCTCAATCCTAGCAGTTGCCAACAGCAGGATCCCCAATGTGTAGGTGGTGACCGGCAGGGTCTTGGGCAGTGACCAGGGAAAGCCATGGGCTGCAGAAGGGGCAGCAGGAATGGAGGGCACTGCCTGGGTTGGCTCTGAAAGTCTCACAGTACTAGCTCACAGACGTCCACTGCCTTAGGTGGTGACCACTAGCTTACAAAAACAGGGTGAGACAGATTTGGCCTGTAGATCATAGTTTGTCAAACTCTAGTGTATACACATCATTTTGGGATCTTGTTAAAACACAGATTCTGATCCAGAAGGTCTGAGATGGCCCCTGAGGGTCTGTATTTGTAACATGTTCCAACAGTAGTTACCAGTTCATCCGCCACACTTTAAGTAGCGAGATCTTTCTGGCTGAAAAGGGATAGACTCTCAGGGAGCAAGACTGAAGACCTGAGGAGGCAGTAAGGTGCTGCAGTTGTTCTCAACCAAGGGGCTACAGAAGAATCAGCCATGGATTTTAAAAAATACAGATGCCTGCACCTCAGCGCACAAGGAATCAGAATCTCTGGGTGTGCAGGGCAAGCGTTACATGGGTTGTGTGAAATAAGCGCTCCATATACACTGTCAGATAACAGAGAAGATGGCCCAGGCTGCATTTTAATCTTTAAATGTGTTTTAATACAAAGCTCTTACACTGGAATATTTGATCAATGATAAAATGATACAAAAAAAAACACTAGTGTTTCTAATCTGATGATGTCACTAAAAGCAAAACCATATTCAAAATTGGTGTCTGGCAGCCTCCCCTGGCCTTTCATAGAAGCTTTTAGGCAGGTTTATACTTCAACCACCCTCATCTGTTCCCCATTTGAGTTCATACCGAGGAGATTCCACAACTTCCCGTGGATGAGCTGCAATTCAAGTGGAAGCTTTTATTAGGCAGTAATATTTATTTCCAGAGGAACTGAAAAGTTGATTCTAAAAAATCATATGGAAATGCAAGTGACCCAGAATAGACAAAATAATCTTGAAAAAGAACAAAGATGGAGGACTAACACTTCCTGATTTCAATAAGCTTGCCAGGACAATTTAATGGGAAAGGAATAGTCTTTTCAACAAATGGCACTGAGACAAGGGGATATCCACATGCAAAAGAAAGAAGCTAGGCCTCTGCCTCACTCAGGTGTGTTCTTGTGTTTTTCTTTAAGCATTTTATATTTTTAAGTCTTACGTTTTGAGTTAATTTTTATATATGGTACAGTAGTCCAAAAACAAGCAGACATGTAAGGGTTTATTTCTAGAGCCTCAATTCTATTCCATTGCTCTCTATGTATCTATCCTTGTGCTAGTACCACTGTCTTGATTACTGTAGCTTTATACTAAGTTTTGAAACTGAAAAGTGTGAGTCTTCCAATGGCTTGTATATTCAAGAGAATAAAAACATATATCCACAAAATCATGAACTTCACCGCAACCTGGATGGACGAAGAGTCTATAATACTGAGAGATCTATCACAGAAACAAAGAATTGAGTATCACATAAGCGAATCTTGAACAATTTCTCACTCATAAGCGAATCTTGAACAATTATCATAATACTATAAGAAAAAGATTGGCAGTAGTGGAAATCTGCTGGGGGAGGAGGCATACCTCATCAACAAGGGTACCTGCATAATGAACATTTGTATACTTAACCCTGAATTGTACCCCACATCTTTAAAATAAAAAAATTAAAAGTTAAAAAAAAAAAAATATATATATATATATACACATATACATATAAAAATTTGTACCTGAATGTTCATGGTAGCATTATAGGCAAAAAGTACAAACCTCTCAATGTCTGTCAGTGGGTGAATGGATAAATAAAATGTGGCATATTCATATAATGGAATAATATTTGACAATACAAAAGGAATGACATACTGATAGTTTACTGGTTGAGTATGATACTTTATTGAGATATGCTAAGTGGGCTGGGCATGGTGGCTTACATCTGTAATCCCAGCATCTTTGGGAGGCAGAGGCGAAAGGATTGCGTGAGCCCAGGGATTCAAGACCAGCCCAGGTAACTTGGCAAGACCTTGTCTTTACAATAAATCAAAAAATGAGCTGGGCGTGGTGGCACATGTCTGTGGTTCCAGCTACTTGGAAGCCTGAGCTGAGGTGGAATGATCACTTGAGCCTAGCAGGTCCAGGCTGTGCTGGCCGTTAGCGTGCTACTGCACTCAAGCCTGGGCTACAGAGTGGGACTCCAACTACAAAAAAAAAAAAAAGATTTGCTAAGTGAAAGGAGCCAGTCACAAAAAGATCGCATATTGTATGCTTCTATTGATGTGAAATGCCCAGAATAGGCAAGTCTAGAGAGAGACAGAACGTAGGCTATTGGTAGCCTGGGGCTGGGATCAGTGTGGAGAATGATTGCTGATAAGCACTGGATTTATTTTTGAGGTGATGAAATGTTCTAAAATTAGATTGTGGTAGGTAATGGTTTTGCAACTCTAGAATGCCCAAACCTACTAAGTTGTACACTCTAAATCAATCTAACTTTATGGTATGTGAATTATACCTTAATAAAGTTGTTTTTAAAATAAATGAAGGCCTGTAATCTCATCACTTTGGGAGACTGAGTCAGGAGGATTGCTTGAGGTGAGGCGCTTGAGACCAGCCTGGGCAACATAGTGAGACCTTGTCTCTACAAAAAATAAGCCGGGCTCCGTGGCTCAGCCTGTAATCCCGTGCCTTTGGGAGGCTGAGGTGAGTGAATTGCCTGAACCTGCGGGTTCGAGACCCGCCTGGGCAACTTGGCGAGAACTCATCTCTACAAGAAATCAAAAAATTAGCCAGGCGTGGTGGCGAGCGCCTGTAGTTCCAGCTACTCGGAAGGCTGAGGCGGAAGGATCGCCGGAGCCCAGCAGGTCGAGGCTGAAGTGGCCGGGAGCGTGCCACTGCCTCCAGCCTGGGCGACAGAGTGAGACTCTAACTCAACAACAACAAAAAAGAATTTGCCAGGCATGGTGGCACATACCTGTAGTCCCAGCTACTGGGAGGGAGGAGGAAGTAGGGGAGGAGGGACACTGAGAGGGGTTGAGGTGGGAAGGTCATTTGAGACCAGGAGTTCCAGGCTGCAGTGAGCTATGATCATGCCACTGCACTCCATCCTGGACAACCAAGTAATACTCTTCCTCAAACAAAACAAAAATTAGTTAAATGACTTAAAGGCTTTCTAAACACAGAAAACAAAAAATATATATAATTCACTAACCTGTCACCGACTGCTGAAATTTAGCAAATTTTCCTCTACATGAACCCTTATAAAAGTGATTAAGTGCATTTAATTTCTGGTACATGTGTCTCAATTTGCAAAGTAGTTAGTAAAGATAAGTTATAATAAATATGAGTGATGTACAATAACTATAGTAAAAAGGAGAGGGGTAGTATAAAAATACTTACGGTCTTGTATGAAATCTGAGGAGCCCTATGCTGGTGAGAAGCCTTCACTGGAGGAGTATTGTTGTGTTTACACCATGGAAACGGACCCCTCCTTCCTCGTGAACGCCAACTTCAGCTACACTATGGCTCTGGCTGGGGGATGGGAATGGGAGGAGACTGCCCCTCTGCTTCACTCTAACCCTTCAGCAATTCCGTCTCTTTCTTCAGGCCAAATGCAGTGGTTCTGAAAAGTTTCAAATGGCATCTGATGCCAAAAAATTAAAATTTTAAAAATAGTGAGTGATTGCCAGCTCACACTACACTGTAAAGGAGATAAACTGCTTAGTGACTGCCTGCCATAGGATGTTTGAGTCCTGTGGTGTAGTGGGGACAGAGTGGGCCCCTCACTTTCAGAACCAGCTGTGAGATCTTGAGCAAGTTCCTTAACTTTGCTGAGCTGTTTTTTTCTCTCCCGCAACATGAAATTTTGCTGTCATAGATGATAAGCTGAATTTACTTACTTATTTACTTACTTACTTACTTACTTACTTATTTACTTACTTATACAGACAAGGTCTTGCTGTGTTGCCCAGGCTGGAGTAGGGCAGCACCATCATAACTCACTGTAGCCTCAAACTCCTGGACTCAAGCAATCCTCTCGCCTCAGCCTCCTGTGTAGTTGGGACCACAGACTTGCACCATCATGCCCAGCTTTAAAATAATCTATAAAGCACTTGGTGTAGGGTAGATGGTTAAACATAAAAAAGAGACCGGGTGTGGTGGTTCACACCTGTAATCCTGGAACTTTGGGAGGCAGAGGCAAGAGGATTGCCTAAGTCCAGAGGTTCAAGATCAGCCTGAGAAACTTGGTGAGACCTCATCTCTACAAAAACTCAAAAAATTAGCTGGGTGTGGTGGTGCATGCCTGTGGTTCCAGTTACTTGGAAGGCTGAGGCAAAAGGATCACCTGAGCTCAGCAGGTGGAGGCTGTGGTGGCCATGAGAATGCACTGCACTCTAGCCTGGGCAGCAGAGTGAGACGCCAACTCAAAAAATAAAAATAAAATAAAATAAGAATGCCAATAAAATCAATCCTCTAAGCAATCATCTATCATATTTATAATGATACTGGTCTAAAATATCTTTTTCCTTCTTCCTCTCTTTTCCCTTTCCTTTTCCCTCTCTTTTCTCCTCTCTCCCTCTCTCTCTGTCTCTCTCTTTCTTTTTCTCTATCCATTTCTCTCCCTATTTTTCTTCTCACATATATGTATTAAATGCCTTATACCTGCCAGACACTGTCCTGAGCCCTGTGAAGAATGAGACAGCCATTGTTCATGTCTTCTTTGAGCTTATGGTCTAGATAGAAAGGCAATAAGCAAGAAAACAGCTAAGTGTACACATGTAGACTCACAACCTATGTTAAATGTTGTGAACAAATAACGTACAATGGCAGAGAACACTGGGAAAGTATTGTGGACAGCCTGAGAGGGTGAGACCTGAAGCTGAGAAGCCAGGTGTGTGAGGAGCTGGGGAAGGTGCTCTGGGCAGAGGGAGGGAGAGAGCTTGACTCAGGTGAGAAACAAAGAAGAGGAGAATGCGACTGGTTTATGAAGTGTGGGGAAAGTAGAGATGAGACTAGGGTAGACAAGGACTAGATCATTCAGGGACTTCTAGGACATGGGAAGCAGCTTGAATTTTACGTTTGGATTTTAAGTAGTTATTGAGAAGGTTTCAACAAAGAAGAAGATGGTGCATCTACTATTTTCTTAAAAGGTTATTTTTTGGCCACTGTATGGAGAATAGACTGAAGGGAGACAAGACTGAAAGCAGGAAGACCACTGAGGAGTCTATTGCAGAAGTCCAGACAAGAAAGGATGATGACTTGGTGAACCATGGCCATAGAGATAAGAGGGGTAAAATCAAGAGTGTTTTATGAGGGAATATTGGCAGGCATTGTCAATGGTTCAGATAAGGGTAGTAAGGGAGAGGGAGAAATCAAGGATGATCCTTGGGTTTCTAATTTGATGAACCTGGTAGGAAGTGGTGACATTGGTGGTGTGGCAGTGCCTTGGGTAGGGCCAGGCTTGGGTAGTGGAAGGGTAGTACAAATTAAGTGTTCTGTTTGATGTGTGAAGTTTGAGATACCTGTACACATCCAGATATCAAGTAGAAATCTGGAGTTCTGTTACTTCTGGGGTCATCAGCACGTAGGTGATAGTTAAAGATACGAGGATGTATAAAATACCCTAGGGATGGCAAGTATACAGAGGAGAACGAAGCCCTGAAAACCTAAGATCTGGTATCAAAGAAATAATTAGCAAAGGAGATTAAGAAGCACAGCCAAGGTGGTGGAAGAGAGAAACCAGGCGAGCATAGCCTCAAGGAGCCTTGGGAGAAGAGTGTGGTTAGAAGAAGCAGAGGTCAATCAAGTCAAAGGGAGTAGAGTTTCATGAGTGTCTATCACAAGCCAGAAAGGTGTTTTTGAGACCCAAATCTCACTCCCAAAGAGCGGTGTCTTGTCACCTTTTCTAAGCTTCATAGCAGTTCCTGGTCAACTTGGTTTCATTGAACACACACTTGATAAGTAACTAGGATGTTTGAGTGATGCAACGGTACAAAAACAGAGGTCCTGACCTCAAAGAGCTTGTAATAAGGAACAGTTGATAAAAAGTTGCATGCATCTGTGGCCTCACCTTCTCTGACACCCTCTTACACGTTTCCTTCCCCTAATAACAGATGTCTGACATCTAACCTCTTGACAAGTCATGAGCTGACCAGGGAGTGAGGCAACCAAAGGGAGAGGCCCCAGGATCACTTACAAGAGTGAACTCCTTACATTATATTACAAAGAAGAGGAAGAAATGACCCCCAAAGGTTCACAATATTGTAGTATATTTTTAATGTAAAAAATAAACTTCTGATATAACACACAAGGCTGTATAAATACCAAACCAAAATAAACCCTGATCTTATAAAAAATATTGATTCTTTGTATACTACAATTGGTGGGATCTGCTAATGGAACACTCAGTTTGTGTGATTTATTTTGGTTGTTAATGTGACCTTGTGACTTAATAAGTGGCAAAAGTCTACACTCGAGGGACTCTCACCTGTCCTGTGGTAGGCCTCAGAGGCCACCTCAGGCAATATCTGTAGGCCAGCTATTAGTCTTTGGCCGCATTGGTTCAAGCACTGGGACTCTAATTTCTGACTGAGGTGACTTTCATTAAACCCTTTCTCCATAGAATCAAAGGCATTTTCTAGAGCAGGAAGGGACTCTGGAAACAATGAGTTCAAAACTTATCTTATAGATGAGAATATTATGACCCATTGGCATTAAATAATGTATTTAATGTAACACTGTTACTGTGTTGTAATTTATCTCTTATACCTCAACCCCTAGCAAAGCTCAAGGTAGAGAATAAGTGGGCAGTGACTGCACATTCAGGGACTAGGTGAATGTGGGCCGAACAACTCTGCCGCCTTCTTGAACATTTGCCCACTGCTGTTGACCTGTGCTTTAGACACTGTGATTTGATTCTCTTCTACCTTCCTCCAATTCTAAAGAAGATGATAATAGCAAATGCATTATAAGATTTGTTGTTAAGTGCTTTAACACAAGTTTATTTGCTGGGCATGGTGGCTCACACCAGTAATACCAGTACTTTGAGAGGCTGAAATGGGAGGATCCCTTAAGGGCAGGAGTTCAAGACTAGCCTCAACAACATAGTGAGACCTCATAAAAAAAATGCTGGACATGGTGGTGCATACCTGCTGTCCTAGCTACTTTGGAGGCTGAGGTGGAAGGAGTACTTGAGCCCAAGAGTTTGAGGCTGCAGTAAGCTATGATCAGACCACTGCACTTCAGCCTGGATGATAAAACAAGACCCTGTTTCCATAAAAAAGTGTATTTATGATGTGGGGCAGGTACATTTATTTCTTATTAGCCCTATGTTACAGAAGAGAAAACCGAGGTAACATAGTAATCAAGTAACTTGCCTAAGGTTACAAGGCTTGTAGTTGAACTGTTCCGGCAGTTTTGTTGCAGCATCCAAGTTCTCATGTATCATGTTACATTGTCCTCGAGGTAGAAGTCAAAGTCACATGCAAAAGTTATGGAAGTAAAGACATCTCTGCCTGGGAATTGACCTAGTTTCTACTTTAAGTCAATACTTATGAAAGAGGCAATATCGTGAGGTGGATGGAATGGTTACTTGGACACTGGGAGTGGCAGGAAGGAAATGGAATATTTGTTAAATGTCTTTGTGCGTCAGCCATTGTTCTAGGTGTTTTATGGACATTATCTCATCAATCCTAACACCAACCCTGAAAACAGACAATTTACAGGCAAGGAAACTGAGGCTCAGAGGGGTTAAACGTACTCAGAGTAGGTCTCTTTACTTTCTGTTGAGAGTTTTGAGGAAGTGAGCTGATCATATTTGGTGCCTGATGGCATTACTACCAAAGTTCAGATCTCTGTAAGTCCCGGGTTTCCCTGTATCTGGGATGGGAAATCTGTCTTTATCCATCTTGCAGGAGCTTTCACAGGACTTCCAGTCAGCGGGGAGGACATGGATTGACATCTTGGACTATTCCTAGGATCACACTGGAGAAGGGTCCTGTGTTGGGTCTAGGATTCCAACATTGCTGCTGATCAGCACAACTGGAGATGTGCACCAATCCGACAGGAGGCTGATGAAATCTTGTTCTGGGGAGTTGGGATTATTCCCACGTGGCCCACGTTTCCTCCAAGGTGTCGTTTTTCTATCAGGGACCACCTTCAGAGAGGCAGGCTGTCCTCTTAGCCTCCTTTGTGTGCTGCACAGCCTGAAGGTGGGTCTGTGTAGCTCCCTCACACATAAACTCCTGGATGGCGTTTGCAGAATGGCTCCATGTCACTGTCTTGGCATCTCTCCACTCCTTCCACCTGACAGCACTTGTCCAGACATGTTGCCTTTTCTAGCCTTTCCGTTGGACCTATTGTCCCTCAACTGCCCAATTCCCACTGACAAAAAATAAATAGAAAGACTTTCAAACTGATGATATGAATGTGGATTTATCAGCTTAGTAAGATGCTAGTATTATATGGCTAAATGAAAATAGAATGCTATAAAAATGTCCGATAATTTCAGTATATATATGTGAGAAAAGTTGAAAAGAATACACATTTAATTAGCAATAAACATTATTTTTTCTATAATAAGCACACATAATTTGTGTAAACAAAAGAAACATTTTGTAATTGTCAAGTGTAGAGTTGTTGAGGACCTTGATTAGCATGATAACAGAGGGAATGGGAGGAGACAATGGATGGCATTGTGCATGTTGGATTGAATTACTCACAACCAGGCAAATAGATGAAGGATCTGAGTGACTGAAGAGAAACCTGGGAGTTTTGGACTTAGCACAATGTTTCCTGCATTTTAATCGAGGTAAGTAGGAGTGTTATCAATGACTATGGTAAAACATCCTGGAGACTGATTTGGCAAGCCAAATGGCAGAGCTCAGTTACTGAATGCATACAAACAAATTGATTGTGACATCCACAGCTTTAGGGCCCCAAGTGAACTGTGTCCACAAAAGGTATAGGGCACTGCCATTGAGAAATGAACCCCAAGCCTGGCACTGGATGATAAATTTTGGAATTTGCTAGAAAGAGTATTTATCTTCTGTCAACTTCAGAAACATAGAAGCGTGGTTATCCTGGTTCTTTTGTCCTCTGGAAGTGCTTCACCTCTGGTCTCTTGGACCTCAAATGCCATTCTCTGACCTTGACATTCTACCTTCCTTCTTTTGTCTCCCCATTCTAGGTAATTTCTTCCAACCCATCAAAACCACCAGTATCTTTCAATTCTTCCCTGTATTCATATATGAATGATCTCTCATAAGTATATTTTTATATATTTACATGTATGTATATAATGTAAATGTGTATATGTATGTGTATACACTAATAGCTAACATCTATTGAGTGCTCACTCTGCTTGTCAAACATTGTTCTAAGCACTTCACACCTACCTTATTCCTTGCAATCCCCACTACAACCCTCGGATGCATGTGCTATTATTATTTCCATTTTACTGATTAGGAAACTGAGAAGTTAAAAGGCTATGTAATTTGCCCAAGGTCTTGGAAGTAGTACAGGTGGAACAAGATTCAAGCCCAGGTTTTTCTGACTCTGCCCTCTTAGTCACCACACTTATGGTTAGAAAAGCATCTGGAAAATATGGACCAAATTATTAAACAATTATCTAATGAGATTGGGGTTATGGAGAAATCTACCCTTTCTATTTTTTTCCTCTAGTGTTTAGATTTCTAGCAAGATGAATATTGCATCTTAACTATAAAACATATGTTTATCTTTAAAAATTACCATCAATCCCCTCATTTTCTTAACTTTGCCACAGGTGCTACATTGCTGCTGCTGTGGACTAGCCTCTACTGGATGCAGGGGAATTCTGTGGTTCCTGTCCTCAAGGTGTTCATTGTCCAAACTCTGTAGCATTACCCAGAGGGTTCTTTTAGTAGGCCCAGCTCATCTTTCCATCCTTAACTTCTGCTCAGTCTGTCCACATGCCTGATGCTCTTGCCACATTGGAGAATTTGGCATTTCTAAGGTGTATCGTTCCCTTTAGGTCTGTCTCTGAGCCTTTGCTCATGAAGTTCCATATTCTGTAGAATGTCTTCCCTTTCTTCCAGAGGAACTCCTACCCATTCTCAAAAGCCACTGTCTTCGTGAAAAAGTTTTCCTTTTCACAAGTGTCTAATTTTAAGAAAATTAAATATTTGACCCTATAATGTGCATAGTGCAAATAGTTAAATTGCACTAAAGTAATAAAAAAGAAAAGCAAGAGTCTCCAATTTCAGACTCCTGCAACTCCAACCTCAACCCCAATCCCATTCTCCAAACTCTTCATGCTTTCTATTTTTTAGATTTCTGGCGGTGATCTCCATGTTTCCAGAATAACATCCTATCTCATTATTTCCTGGTATATCATCTTAGGCCCCATCTATCTGATTTCTCCTAGGAGAAAGGAAGATTTAGCTCACATACATGCTAGTCATATCTTTTCTCCCTGGTTTGCTTATAGAGCTATATCTCTATGCTCAACCCCTCGCTGCTCTCTCCTCTGCACACCTAGAACTCTTTGTCCTCTTCTGCCAGCTACAGACAGTATCTCCATTTTCTAAAAGGAGAGCCTTGGTAACCCAACCTTCTCCCCACCCTGTTTCTGCTTCTACGCCCTTCTACCTATTGAGTTTTATTTGTGCATTTAAAAAATTAATCATATTTATATCCTCTTGTACAGTCATAGTAAATTCTTCTTTGGCTTGCTTATAAGGCAAATTTAAAATCTGGAAACCAATAGCAGTGTTTCAGTGATTAGACTATGCGAATATTGTCCTCTGCAATCTAGTCGATTATTCCAATTATACATCTTGCTCTGGGCCATTCAGAAAAGGACATTCTTGGATTTCAGGTCTGAATGAAGTCTCCTGTTTGAGAGACCACTAGCAGCTCAAAATCAACCCATTCTAGGGCACAACACAGTCGCATCGGGTCTTTTTTCGACATTTTCCCCTTTTGAGGTTCCTGGTTTTAATTTTATCTTTATAGTGAAATAAGTTAATCGTAAAATATATAAATACATATTTTTGCATTCCATCACCTTCTAACAGCCTCTAGGACTTCCTAGTTTCCAGTCAAACATTCAATTTTATCGCATTCCATTTTCCCTTCCAATCTTCCTACTCTAGTCAGCATGGGTTGCTCCCTAGGCCCAGGCACTGCTGCCATTCTGGGACTTCCCTTTTCTGCTCATCTTGATTGGAGCCATTTTTGCTTGAGTCCCATGCATTGAGGACATCCTTGACTCCCACACCTTTCCCAGGATAATAAATAACTCACTTTGTTGAACTCCCACAGTTCTCTGTGTTTACCTATATAGGGTAGCACTTTATGTTGTTTTTTCTTTATCCTCCAGGGCATGGAACACAACTATAATTTTGTCTTCACTTTTTTTTTTTTTTTGAGTTGGAGTCTCACTCTGTCGCCCAGACTGGAGTGCAGTGGCTGCTCCCGGCCACCGCAGCCTCGACCTGCTGGGCTGCGGCGATCCTTCCGCCTCAGCCTTCCGAGTAGCCAGAATTACAGGCGTGCGCTACCACGCCCAGCTAATTTTTTGATTTTATTGTAGAGATGAGGTCTCGCCTGCCCAGGCAGTTCTCGAACCCGCGGGCTCAGGCAATCCACTCACCTCAGCCTCCCAAAGGCATGGGATTACAGGCTGAGCCACCGAGCCCGACTTGTCTTCACTTTATAAAAATGAAACATAACCCATAACAGCTTCACCTTATAGTCTATGTAGCTCTATTGTGAGGGATATTCTTCATTAATTCCACTTATTAGGGCTGCCAGATATAATATAGGATGCCCCCGTAAATTTTAATGTCAGATAAACAACACACTTTTTTAAGTGTATGTCCCAAATATGGCATGAGACATACTTCTACTAAAAAGCTATCTGCTGTTTATCTGACATTAAAATTTAACTGAATATCTTGCATTTTTATTTGCTAAATCTGGGCACCCTACATTGGGCATCTTCTCAGGGCACAATCTTCTCAAATGCCAACCACTGTGGGACTCCCTGGAGAATATGATCTGATGACAATGGGAGAACACATGTGTTGGCAATCAGAGGAGTGAATACAACATTTCATACTTTTTTCCAGGACCTGCTCTCAAAGCCCTCCTCCTTTGTAAGTGTGGTGTTGAGTCTATAACTTCAATTTGATCTTAGAGTCAAACAAGAGAGTCTTAGACATCTCTTTGGTAAGGCATAATGCATTTGTTAAGAAAAAATCCTTTAACTTATTTTTCTTTTTTGAGTTAGGGTCTTACTCTGTCACCCAGGCTGGGAGTGCAATGGCATGATCACAGCTTACCACGGCCTCCATCTCCTGGGCTCAGGCGATTTTTCTGCCTCAGCTTCCCGAGTAACTGGGACTATAGGTGCATGCCACCATGCCAGGTTAATTTTTTAAATTCTTGTAGAGACAAGGCTGGTCTCAAACTCCTGGGCTCATGTGATCCTCCAATCTCAGCCTCCCAAAGTGCTGAGATTACAGGTATGAACCACCGCACCTGGCCATAATGTACTTTCAAATTAATATTCGGGGGCAATTTATGTCACTGGGGGTTAGTCTAGGAAGTAAAGAAAAATGTCATTAGTCTGATATAGCTTCATTTAATTTTAAAAATCTGTATGTGTTGTTGGGTTTTACTAAGCATTGCTTCATCACAGCTATTAGTATTAAATAATCCATATTGAAGAGATACTTCCCATGTGCCAGGTTCTTTCCTAAGGATTTCACGTGGATTCATGTTTCATTCTCACAAGGTGCCTCTGACTGACTGACTTTTTTTCAGTTTTATGGATGAGGAAACAGAAGCAGAGATGAAGAAGAATTTTCCCAAAGCCACACACACCACTAATGAGTGGGAGGAACGAGATACAACCCATGCCTTCTTGCCGCAGACTCCTCCTCCAGTTCTAGCTCCTCACCAAAAACCAAACCACTATTTAAAAAATGTGAAATTTTAATCACACTACACATACATTTCAAACTACTTTCCGCGAGTTCCTCACTGAAGCATTAAATAAATGCTTTAAATTTACTAGAAAGCGAATTGAGGAGAATCAGTTGGAAAATGAAGGAGGGAGTTTCAGCTAAACTCCAGATAACTTTTGAATTAAGCTATCAGATGGTCCCTTCTAACACCATTTCCCCCCAAATCATAAGCGCTATTCCTGATGGCCCTGCATTGTATTTCCTGGAGAAAAGACAGGAACACAGGCAGGCCTTCCGATCTGGCTCAGCCCACAGGATTTCTGAATCGGCGTTCAGTGCACCATGTCCCGAAATGCAGAATGCTCAGGGCATTTCAGATTCCAGACAGACGCGGAGCCAGCCCTGAATTGAGCGAATTTGGAGAACTATCCAACTGGGCCTGCTGTGGGGTGAATTCAGCAGGGAACAGATCTGATCCGGATCAGGTCTGAGGACCGGCGCCGGGAGCACAGCACCCCCCAGGCACTGTCCGGATCCGTCGCGGTCGGGCTTAGCCGACCCGTGTCCAGGCTGCGGGGCCCGGGCCGGGAGAGGGTGCTGGGCACCGCCGAGCACGCCGGGGATGGGAGCCTCCGCTGCTCGCAGGGGGAGGGCGCCCTTGGCTCCTCCCATGCCCCTCCTCCCGCAGGCCGGGGGAGGAAAGGGTCGGGGGATAAGGCGGCGCGGGGCGGGCCGAGGAGGGCTCAGCGTGCGCGCAGCCCACCCGCCCGTCCGCCCCTCTCCGGAGCTGCCCCTCTCCCTGCGGCCATCGTGACCGCGCTGGCCAGAGGCCCGCAGTGCTGGCGGCCGGGGGCAGTCGTGTTCGGGGCGCTCTGGTCGCGTTGGTGCCCAGGGACCCCGGTTCCCGCGAGCAGCTCGGCGCGGTGCCCGGTGAGGAGGGGCCCCGGGGCCAGGCGGGAGCGGGAGGAGAGACGCGGGGCCCTGTGCTCCGGAGGCACGGTCGCCGCACTGGAGGCGGCGACCCGGGAGCGGCGACAGCGACGGGCCGAGGTGGGCTAACTAGAGCCGCACCCGCCCTCCTGGCTGGTCCTTGGCTCATCGTCCCGCAGAAACGAGGAACATGGAATTTGGCATCTATAGGTCTCCTGCTGGGTTTCGGTCTCTCTCTCTCTCTCTCTCTCTCTCTCTCTCTCTCTCTCTCTCACACACACACACACACACACACACACACACACACACACACACACTCACATCCATCCTTTAGGGAGCAGAGCTTGTGGAACGCCCCCCATACCATCCCCCCACACCCTTTGGGAGTACTGTTTCTGGAGCCCAGGTGTGAGTAGTTGCTGTAGGAGCAAAAAGGAAGCAATGCCCCTCCCTGCCTGGAGCAGCCCCCCTGTGGCCATGTAAGATCATAACTGTTTTACTCCTGGGATTTTCTTTTCTTTTCTTTTTTAATTAAGCAAATCAAAAAACAGAGGACCTGTCTTCCTTATTGTCTCCTGGAGCTTCAGGAGAAGTTTCTGTTGCCAAAAACGAAAAGTTCAGGCTTTCATTCAGGCGTGTGGTTCTTGGGATCACTGCAGAAGTGGTGAGGGAGGAGGGAGAGGTGTGTGTACATTGCATAAATGGGACTTGCCACCTGCAAAGGGTGCATGGATTCAGGTTTGGGAGGGACGTGTTAACATATCAGTCTTGCACAAATTCCCTGTGACCCAGATGGGAATGCTGAGCTGAGAGACTGAAATATGAGTAGGTCCTGAGGAATTGTCAGTCCCAAGAGGCCCAGGACCAAATCTTGGGCAGACACTGAACTCAGGGATGTGAGCATTCAGTACTGGCCTGATCAAGAAGCGGGAGATGGCACTGGTGAGCTGCATTACCCAGGCAGATTTCCTCACAGAGGATACCCTGGTGGCCCTGCAAGAGGTGATGAGAGAACCCAACAACCTGGCATTTTCCAGCATCATGCCTCAGCTCCTCTTGGGCATTGAGAGTGCTGACCCTTCCCCAGACATTTGTGACCAAGAAGCTGCTTGCTGGTCATGGGGTGATGTCTTCATTGAATTGGGCACTTCATACTTAAGATTGGCCCCACAGTCCGTCACCAAAGACTGTCAGTACCAGTAGAGCTAGCTGCTGAGACTAAAGGGGTAGCGGTCAGGAGAGGGATGTGAGTCTGGTTCAGCCTCTGATTTAACTGTTGAGGAATCCCTTCTGAGGTGTGAGGGGCTTGCACAGCACTCCAGGACTTTTCCCTCAAACAGAACCCTGGGCAGTTGGTGCCTCATTTCCTCTCCTTTATATCTCTCTGCCCATTGCACGTTAGCTGTGAGGAACATGCATGAACCTAACCACATTCCCTCACTCAGTTACCTTTGCAGATGAAAGGTAGCCGAGGCTCTCTCAGCATAGGGCACTAAGAAAGTGCCAACTAGGTATCTGAGCAGCTGGAGTGGGAGCCCCTGGGAAGGTCGGATGGAGTTTTGGAGTCCTCTTAGTCTGTGTTCATTTCCTTGACACCCCAGAAGAAGGAAGGTGATCATCAGGTTATTTCTACTCTGATTCATGTGAAGTCTGATGTTTTGTTTCAGGACTCATGATAATAAGCCTGACTGACCCCTCAAAACATTGAGAAATTTCCATAAAAGCAAAGCATTGAAAAGAAGATGTTGAATGAAGAGATATTAAAGGGGAACGTTTTATTCTAAAGTCATATTCTAGAATTCTGGGGAAGCTTTGTGGTTCTTATTGCCTTTCCCTATGAAGCCAGTCATCTGTTATGCGCCCTCCCTGTCGTTTTGCTCAGTTTTACAGGCATGACTCATAACCTACTAATAGAATCAGGTTAATGTATTATGTATGTATTATGTATTATGCCTATATGGATATAGGCATGCAGTGTTGGTTTTTAAATGAACTTAGGAGTTGAGGAGAAATAAAAGTCTATTATAAGAGCAGATACTCATTGAATTAAGTGGGCTAGTTGACTAGTAGATACTATGTTCATTCATTTAAAAAAAAACTATTTTTTGATTGGGCTTGATGGCTCAGCCTATAATTCCAGCACTTTGGGAGGCCGAGGCGAGTGGATTGCCTGAGCCCGCGGGTTTGAGACCAGCCCGGGCAACATGGTGAGATCTCGTCTCTACAATAAAAGATTAGCTTAGTGTAGTAGTGTGTGTCTATAGTTCTGGCTACTTGGAAGGCTGAGGCGGAAGGGTCACTGGAGCCCAGCAGGTCGATGCTGGGGTGGTTGTGAGCATGCGTGCCACTGCACTCCAGTCAGGGCAACAGAATGAGACTCCAATTCAAAAAAAAAAAAAAAAGGAAAAAAAAATTATTGAGCAGCTACTATGTGCTAGACACTGAGTATAGAGGAGTAAGATAGATATGCTATCTGCTCTCATAAACATCACATTCTAGAGTTGAGGGATGAACACGGTGCATTCACAGGGCGAGAAATGTTTTGAAGAAAAGCAAACAGAATGGTCTTGTTGTTGGTGGTGGTGTTGGTGGTGGTGGGCAGGGGGTGTGTGTGTGTGTGTGTGTGTGTTGGCCAGGTGGGAGTGGCCTGGCTTCTTGGACTGGATTTTGAGGAGAGACTTCTCTAAGAGATGCATTTGAGATGAGACCCCAGGCAGTTGGGCAGATATCCCAGCAAAAGAAACCACAAGCAGAAAAGTTCTGGTCTTGGGAACAGTGTGCTGTGTTTGAGCACAGTTGGAAGGCTGATGTGGCTGGAGTTAGGTCAGGGAGGAGGAGAGTTGGAGAACTGAGGTCGAGGGACAGAGGCCAGGCCAGGTAGAACTTCGTTGCTGGCCAAGGTAAACCATTTGGATTTTATTCTAAGTATAGTGAGAAGCTGAGAGTGTTTGAAGCAGAAGTGCGACATTATAGAATCAATGTGTTAAGAGATCCCTCTGGATGCTTTGTGAGGAATGGATTAGAGAGACAGAAGAAGGATATAACAGGCCAGCTCCAGGTTTATGGATGCTCACTTTGGAGGGTGATAGCAGCAGATAGGTGTAGGCTATTTTTGAAGGTAGAGTGGGAAGTTACTTAATATTTTTCAGACTCAAATTTCTCATCTATGAAATAGGGATAATGTTGCTCTACCCGGTCCACTTGTAAAAACTAATAAGCTAATGAATATGCTCATAAGGGTAATGTAAGATTTTATTACTATTATTATTTGCTAATTTTGTGTTGCTTTGAATTCCCTGTGCTTCGTTTTAAAATTTTCTCTAATAAATTTCAGTGTTTTTTATTTTAATCTTTTCAATTAATGCAATTTATTATTCATTAAAAATATTTTGCTCTTTTCAGAGTTACCAATATAATACGCTATTGTAGAATGCAGTGAAATTAATGCTGAAATAATTTCTGGCTTAATTTTGAAAGATGAATGTGCTCAAGTAAAATTCAAACACAGAATATTTGAAGGTGGGGATTGGAAAAAAAATTTTTTTTGGATAGATTTGCCCTTGTCCTGGATATGGCTATGATATCTGTGAGTACAAAGATCTGTAGATGACTGAAAATATTTATGTATCTGCAGAATTTCTGGAGAGGGCTATGGAGCAGAGTTGAGTAGGACTGTTTCCCTTAGTGGAGCATTCTCTCAGAGGAAACTCTTTAACTTTCTCTAGTTGATCACTGACTCTGTCTTAGAGAATCAAGAAGGGTTTTGAAGTTGTTTGCCAATTTGGTTAGAGATGCCCTTCTCAGGGACAGGACAAACAACCGTTGCAATGAAGCAATACTATTTCTCTTTCCTGTCTTACTTTGACATGCAACTTACTAGAAGGAGATATGTCTGTTTAGAGGAATAGGGTCCCTTCCTCATTTACATTGTATGCAGCAGAAATTTCAGCTCATAAATTAATAGTCTGTGGATTACATTCACTTGCCAGATCCCATTATTTGTTGATTACTGTGTCTGAACTTCAGCTTGAAGTGACCAGTCTGGAAATTCAAATTGCAAACAAAATGTAACAATAATCCTGGAGTCTATGTGATTTCTTTTTTGCCATGTCTTCTATCATATTCCTTAGGGTTGGAAGATTTTGTGGGGGCGTCTTTAAAAGAAAGGTTACAGTCTCTCTGTGGGCCACACATCCGTGTGTTTGACTCATATTAAGCTTTGAAATGTTGGATTGGTTGCTATCCTTTAAAAAACAGTGGATGATACATACAAATGTGAGTTTCAGTTTTCTTGAAAACAGTCAGAAGATCTAGTTACATGGAGCTGTCATTCCTACATAGTTGCATAACTGGAGTGGAGCGATGGTTGCCTCCTTTTGGATGATCCAGTTGTCCCCACTCCCCACCCGTCATTATTCTATTGCACAGACCTGCTTGACTCACTTAAGTTACCTGGTTGGCCCTTGTAGCCTTTAGATTATTAACTTCAGGGTTATGACGACCTAGTCCAGCCTGTCCATTCCACTTTCACCTTCATCCAGTGCAGGAATTCTTATCCCAGTACCTCTGCTGGGTGTCCCAAGGCCTGCACATAACAACTCCCCTTGATAGAAAGGCTACTGCCAATTGTTAAGAAGCTCCTGTTACTGGAATGCTGCAATCTGTAGTGTTCAATCCACATAGAACTTGTCTAGGACCTTTGCACAGAACTGTGGCTGTCACATGCCATCTGGGTTTTCCCCATAGTACACGTCCCTCATTTCTTCAGCATTTCCTCATGTGACTCGCTGTCTTATTCCCTCATTATTCTGGTTCTTGTTGGGCCACTGTCCCTTTGGATGAATCTTTCCTTATTAAAATCCTTAGAGCCCACCAATTAAGAAAACGTGGTCTCACTGGTGCAGAATGCAGTAGGAGGGTGGTCTCCACTCCCTAAGATGATGTCTTTAGATTTTTCTTGTCCTATCCATCAGGGATTTTTCATTTAAAAAAAAAAATTT